CGTTCAGTTTTTAATTGTAGTGTCTGTTCTTTTACTGAACTAAATGATTTTTATTACTATAAAAAATCTAGACGACGGTGGGGGTCGGTGATGCGGTGGGCAAGTGACGTAACTGGTGTTGCAGCTTAACATCGGTATCATTGTCAGCACCATCTATCGCGGCAAGCCTAGCGTCCACATACGGAAAACACAATTGAAAATACAATTTGCAATTCCTTTCCTGAATATTCTTCCAAATGGTTCTTTGAATGAATCCGTAAAAGCACTTTCAAACTGACCAGTCATCATCTGAATCAGTGTCTGAATCGCGAATCTGTGTAGTAAATGCCGCTCCATCTGAAAGCACGTGCTGGAGATTTACTACTAATCACCAGAAGCGGCTCTACTGATGAGATTCGCATGAAAATAGCATTCGATTTTTTGCCGAGCCCTAATGGTACCTATACTAATGTGTTACCGTTAGGACTATTTATCCTAAAAAGACCTATAAAACTCATTGTATACACTTATTTCACACACCGCACAGCTGTTGTGAATATTCACACTGGGGCCTTCAACAGAGTCCAAAAAATAAGCATTCAGTGATGCATAAGACAGGCGTCATGGGGCTGTACTGTTGAATTACAGGCAACACTGCAGTGTTACACAGTCAATATTTTGAGCAGGGGCTGTTTCACACCCACCACCCACATGGCCATGTTTGTCCTCTGAGCGCACAGCTCTCAAAAGTATTGGGTGAATGTGTTTTACACAAAAACACACAACCACCCAAAGATGAGGAACTGTCATATGCAAAGCAAACAAAGGATCTCATCTCAGTCCCGATGCTGCAGATGCCGAGAGTGTGTACCAGTGTGAATCAGTTATGCTGACAGACGTGCTTCACTACTAATGATTGAGCTACATCAGTAAATAAATAAAGCAGCCGATCACAGACAAAACAAACCAGTCAGTTAATGGAAACCATGAGGTGTAAAAACACTGAATTATTAAAAAGGCCAAACAATGTGCACGAATACCCAAAAATAAATAAATAAATATATACACCAATAATGCTTGACCTTAATAAGTTAAATGTTATTTGATTTAATATTATTTCAGGCTATTCAAATTATTATATTCCAAATTGGTTGCGAACCAAACAGACCACGTGACATGAAAGTACAATTTCAAATAATGCATTTCCCAAATGACAAATGAGAAAAAAAGAGAAATGCACTGAAAACAATGCATGCAATACAATTCAAATTAAATCATGCAAATGATAAAAACTTGACACAGGAAAATTATAACTTGCAGTTTTGATCTAAATCAAAAATGCTGTCGTCATCATCATGTGAACCAGCGCACGGTCTGCAACTATGTGTGTGTGCCTTTACATCTCTGAAAATGCATCAGAGCGTTTGCTGCTGTCTGCATCTCTGTGTGTGATATAATTCTTGGTTTTAAATTGTCAAGTGTTATGCTTTCGGGGAAAAAGGGACATGTCTGATTTCGCTATGACTGATGACTGTGGCCTACTTATCAATCTGCAGATTTTCATATTGATAAAGACGGGTTAGAGGTCAGAGCAGCTCTTGATCATGTTAAGAAATGAAACTTTGAGTCTCAGTTTGGGTTTCAGTCAAGTTTCAAACTGTTTCTTCAAAAGTCAAAGGGAAAACAAACGAGGGCATGTAAACAGAGCCTAACAGTTAGATTCTGCAAGTAAAAATCACATTCATTTTCTCCATAGAGAATAGTGTCTTTTCAGTTTTTTTTACTTTAATGCATTTTTTTTGCTTTATATAGCTAAGTTAGCAAGTTGTGAATCATCTGAGAGCTAGTTGGTTTGCTTCAATATTTTTTTTAATCTCTATGAAGAAAATAAATAAGAAAAATACTGCCAGAACCAAGGTGGCCTGTAAGATGTGCTATCAATATTTCACTTTATAAAAACACAAGCAAAAACACAATCAACAACTACCATATATCTTCTGCAATTGGACATTAGTTTCAGTTTAAATCCGTGCAGCCTGTTTTTATACCAAATACTGTGTTGCTGATCTGATTTGGTTGTTGGCTTGTTAAAGTGTTGAAACGACTCTGGATGTAGTTGTGTGAGCATCTGCATGTGCATAAGGTCACCGTGAAGCTCTAACACGCTCCAGATGGGAGGATGCGGTTTTCTAGAATTAGAAATATTTTCCACAGCACTGGCTGCAATTGTTGTACAGCAAATAATACTAGAAAAAACAAGACACGAAAATCATTTCAAAATCTGAAATCTAACTTTGATACAGCCGGTTTTCTTTCTTGCTTGATCACACACCAACAAGCCACATCAGAAGACTTCGACATATACAACACAAATACAAGTCTATAAAGTTTCATCCAATCCACAAATCCACACACTTCATGAGCTCAAATGCATTGCACACTGCTGGATTTCATGGTGTCCGTATTAATCTTCTTTTAATTTTAAGGTTTCTAAGCACTCCACCAAACTTGTTCAGACTACATCGGCAATTAAAGGTCTGTGGTCTCCAGCCCTAGAAGCCCTGTTTAATGAACATCATTTGAGGCCAACACCAGATGTTTCTCAAGCCTTCCAAAAAGCTTCATATACACGTAAGAAAGCGTACAGTTTTGCGACACATAAATTGCAAGGCTCTCTTTTCAATGTTTGATTCTGATTGGTGGCTCGTGGTTTTCTGCAGTCACATTGCTATACATACATATATATAAATGCACTTCGTCTCTGGTTGAGCTAGTCATTTTTAACTTGATAATAATACAACACTTCTGTGAAATCTGACAGCAGATAATCATACTAATTTATCTGCTGTGCACAGACTGGTTTTAAAGTTAGGACTTCCCTGAAACAAAGTTTCTCACACAAAGAAATGATCAGCCAGCCTGCAGCTTCCTCTCTTAGCATAGCTGCCCTCACTGTTGCTATTGTAATGAACACACCAAACACAGAGTGCACAGTTACAGAATCAAGGCATGGACTAGTGTGCACTCTATAATGCAGCCTCCACGCTCACACACCAGTGCACACATTAAGCACACACGTACGTAAGATGCATGCAGCGAAATAAACTATGATGCATGCACAGCAAAAGCCTACATGTTCATTTCTCTCTTTAAAATTTTTTTTTTTTAAAAATGAAGATTGCATCGCTAATTTGAAACTACAACATGTGTGCATGCTTCTGACATTTATTGGAGTGTATACACTTTAAGTGTTTGAACTTTCTTGGCCTACGTTGCCTTTCCCTTACATAGACATTCAGAGCAAGTCCTCGCATCTCTGCCAAGATTCCTCAGCAGCCAATCAGAGCCTTGATACAGCCGTGCTGTGACCCCTAAAGTGAGCAGACGTCATTTGCTGCCTGAACTTTAGGCTATCATGCAGTGTAACCAGGAGCAAGGTGGAGAGAAAGGCAGACACGTAATTGTGTCCTTATTAGTTTCATTACACTTAATAGTATCAATCAGATCCTGTTTCAAGTTGGCAGTTTGTCTTAAATGTGGGTGGATTAATTAGGCTAAATGAGTGTTAATGTGAAAATATCACATACTAGATGAATCATGCCATTTTCATCATTTACTCATCCTTGTTTTAAAGCACAAAAGGATACATGCAGCAGAACGCAAGATCTGTTTTAAACTTGCTAAATATTATATTAAAAGTTGTTATTTGCTGAAAATCCTCCCCTCTGCCATAGCTCAAATTTGTATTCACATATATTCAAATTTAAGGCCTCATGAGCCTTCTCACCATTTTTGCTATCAAACCCAATTGGTTCTCACATGCCAGTGACATGAAACCTGGTGCAACACACCTCGAAGTGCCATATTTACATATGTGAATTTTTTATTAACTAAAACACAGCACAGCTCTCAAATCTCATTTACGGTTGCATATATTTAAACATAAGGCTTCAAGACAACAGTTACAAATGCAATTGGTTCTTGTGTGATTTGCCATTGCAAACAAACTTTGTGCAACACATCTTGAAGTGACATATTTGAATATTTGCAGATATTTAGGTATAACGCTCCAAAACAAGTCACGCAAAAAGGCAACTGGTTCTTGCATGACGTCATTGACAACAAACATAATGCAACACACTGACATGCCATATTTGAATATACGTGAATGAAATTCACATTTTTATAGCTACAACACAGTTTACATTTAGATATATTTGTCAGATGTGACGTCAACCATTTCAAATGCAACTGGTTCTTGCATGGCACTGTCATTGACATCAAACTCTGTACAATACATACTTGAATGAAACTTAAATTTTTTATTAACTTAAACATGACGGAGCTCTTCAATCTTTTAATTTCATTTAAATATGCAATTTAATATTTGCATATCATGCCAAATGTGATTTTTCATTAACATTAAACTTCTGGCAACAGATCTTGGCATGCCATATTTGAAAAAATGTGAAAGAACTTTACATTTTTATTAACTAAACACAGCATAGCCCTTAATTCGCATTCACAATAAAAAATATAATGCTTCAAAACAAATCACGCCAGATTACAAATGCAATTGGTTCTAGCATGACTTGTAATTGACAACAAACTTCTTGCAATACACTGACGTGCTATATTTTGATGTAGCTCTTGAATTTAATTTTATATTTGCATATAAACTTAACACTTCAAGACAAGACACACCAGTTTCCATACCAACATTTACAAATGTAACTGGACGATTTGTCATTGACGTCAAACTTTGTGCAACAAATCCTGATGTGCCATATATTCATGTAAAAGATGACAGAATTTTCCAAATTTCCATTAGATTTTTTTGCCAAGTTTTAAATAGTTGACCTCCATCAAAAACAAATAATCTAAAATAAAAGATCTGACCAATATACCAAGCTATCATGAGCCAACAAGAACTAAAAATAATACAATTATCAAATCGGGCCAAAAACAACAGCAGTAGTCACTCTTGAAAGATATATGAAGATCTCGAAATTTCGCCTTACCTTGGGTGGGTCATAGAGCTCCAGCTGGTACTTCTCACTAGCGGTGTGCTCGTTGATCCTCCTGACCTGCAGGTGGCAGCGCAGCCAAAGCGGGGGCGTGTCTGAGATAGTGTCATCCACCTCCAGGTACCGCAGCTGCCCCTCTTTACAAACACTTCCTGTCTCTTGCCTCCGTCTCACAGTTCGCCACAGATTCCATCGTTGCCACCGCGCACCCTTCTGCGAAGTGCGATGGGCGGGTACCTGCACAGTCTGAGGTGGGGTTTGAGAGGTGCATTCAACAGTCGCTGAGGGTCCGCTCCCCTTGATCGAATCGTCCCTTGGGCAACCACCTGAAGGTTCATCAATTTGGGGGGAATTCTTAAAGAATCGGCATACACTTTCTCGAAATCCCCTGACGGAAAAGTTGGTTACGTCACTATGGGAAGGGAAGGAAAACAAAGGGGGCGAGTATCGTTCAGACCCAGTCCTCCGCTCCAGGTGTTCGTCTTCCTGGCTATGATGCCGCGTTCTGCGTGTAGTGTCTGCAGGAGAGCATCGCAGCAACTGCTCCTGCTCTCTAGGGATGCCAGCGGCATTTGATTTGGGCGCCAACACGGCAACTAGCGGAGTCACTCCTGGCCGCACGGTCTCCCGGTAATCCAGCACCCCTGAGAAGGAAGTGATGCGTAAGCGGCCAGTCATGGGTAGCAAGGGTGGTGGTGGCCGCAGGGTTTCTGCGTGTAGTGTCTGCAGGAGAGCATCGCAGCAACTGCTCCTGTTCTCTAGGGATGCCAGCGGCATTTGATTTGGGCGCCAACACGGCAACTAGCGGAGTCACTCCTGGCCGCACGGTCTCCCGGTAATCCAGCACCCCTGAGAAGGAAGTGATGCGTAAGCGGCCAGTCATGGGTAGCAAGGGTGGTGGTGGCCGCAGGGCGGGTTCTGCATCTTTAGCCACCTCACAGCTGAAGTGGTGATGGAAGAGGGCGCTGAACTGCTTCGAGAAACTTTCCGGCGGGACCACATCCTGCACCGGCCGCTCTCTGATGAAGCGCCGGTAGTGCTGGGCAAGTTCTCGGGCCGTGGTGCTGGCATGCAACTCGCAGAACTCCCTCCATCCACAAGGAGGTGCTACGGATGATGCAGTGCTCGTGGTCTGCTGGACAGTGTTACCATTCATTGCAGTAACCAGCACAGCAGGGAATCACTGCGAACAACAGATGAACAACATTAAAATCTGACGGCGCTATACTGCGGCAAGGGTGCAGAATATTTCCAGTACATTTCTGGAAACTTTTCAGAAAGTTTGGAAACTTTCCGGAAATTTAGCTGAAATTTTCTGCCCTGTTGCAACCCTAATTGCCGCAACTGAAGTATATTGTGTATGGCTGCGTTCACAGTATAGCACTGCCTCAAGTTGCTTAATTATAAAATTATCAAGTTCACACTTCATTTACGCCTTATTTTGAAGCTAATGCAGTATGTTCAAGCAAAGGTTAACATGTGGACTCTATGGGTGCTGCATATTTATATAGAAAGTAATTTGCAGTAACAAAACCACACATTATTCCTTTTCATAAGCTTACATGCAAACTAATAATATGTTTATAATTGGATTGATGGCTAAATTGGATTGAAAAGTCTTCATGTTAACACCAATCAATTCAACTGAGCTTGATTCAAATGAAATTACAAACAAGTTGAGGGGCGTCGAAGAACTTGGGAAGAACTTTTTTCTTTTAACATGAAAAAACTATTGTCAGGATTTACTAAAAACATGCAGTGAGAAATTAGCGCTTAAAAGCGTGGAGATAGTTATTTTTGCGGCTGCCTTTATTGCATATGCTTTTGTAGGAGTTTCCCTTCCAGAAAAAGCATTTAAATGCTTTCCTGGGAGGAGGAAAGCATTTAAATGAATCACGCAACATCATTTACTACTGTTTTGCGGTAGTCGATTTACTGGTATTTGCACCATTGTTTACCACCCCCCCAAAAAACGTGTCTTAACGATTTGAGCCTGTGTTGTTAATAGATTAAATGTACCTTATTATCATCGGCTGTGCTTTTCTTTATTTTGTGCATTGTCAGTAAATCACCAGCAGAACTTTCTACTTCCATCGGCGCTTTTATAGGATTGTGCTCTCACGCTAATTTGTCCTTTTGAGTAAATCCAGCCCTTAATCTGCCTAACTGGAAAATTTTTGCCGTATAAATCTTTGAATCCGAGTACTTTCCCCCTTGGCTTCGAAAAAAGTTGTGTGCATTTGTAGTGCCGTGATGCATGTTTATGCGCATCTTACAAATGTGTGCATATTTATTCATGTTCACAGTAGCGCTGGTGAAGGTTTCTTGTGCTGACTTTCTTTGCTTCTAAATGTAAACTGGGCACTGTGCTGAAATTTTCTTCAGAACGGACATTTTTAATCAAAATTAGGGCTGCCACTAACGACTATTTTTATTTAGATTAATCTATCGACTAATTTATCGATTAATCTAAACGATTAATTCCCCACACAAAAAATCTAAAATTTTACTATATTTTATTAAACTACATTTCATTAAACCAAATGAAATCCAAAAGTAAAGTGCAACATAAAGTGCAAGAAGCAAGTGTCCATCTCATAGTCCAAATCACTGAAATCAAAGTTCAGTATTATAGTGTAAGAATGACAACATATCCACGTGTTCTAGTCTACTAATAATAAAATTATAATCAAAAAACACTTTTTAAAGGAGTATTTACCAGAAATATTATTTACCAGAATTTATTTAGGAGAAAAAATTGCAGTATTTCTGAAAAAATAAAATAAAAAATTAATTAATTGGAGATGCTTTTGATTATTAAAGTTTAATGGAACCATTAAAATGGAATCCAAAAAATAATGGAAAACAGAATTTGGTAAAGATAAAACTGTAAAACTCAATTAATTAGACAGGCTTTTTGATTAATAAAATTTAATTTAACCATTAAAATGGATTATAGAAAATTAAAATGGAAAAAACTGAATTTGGAAAAAAACGGATTTCATAGCGCCCTATAATTATAATTCATTTTTTTGTGGTAATAAATATATGTAAGTGAACAATAGCCTTTAAAATAACTTAAAATACAAATATAATAGCAATGAGGCAATAATAATAAGTTCAAATAAAGTATCAAAAGCAAGAAATCATATGGTTTTATAGAACAAAACTGTTAAAATACATAATGTATTATAAACAATAGAGCTAATGTACATTACGCATTACAACAAAGGCCTGCAGGGGCCGCCAACGGCCTGATGATTCTTTTTACACATTACTGTGCGATCTAATCCTTGTTTAATATTGACCAAGCACCATTTCATTCAAATGTCCACTTAATCTTTAATATTTGGCCATTTATTTAGGACAGAAATGTTACAGCCATTGTAATTAAAAGAATATGTGGACATCAAAACGTGTAAACTCAGAGTGAGGGTTTGAGCTGAGCTGGGTTGAGGGCTTTTATTTTGAAACCGTGATGTATTCTCCTGTGTTTGCGTAGATTTATCAATTATTTAACGTACAAATCTGATGAAATGGCGCATGTTGCGTTCCCAGATGAAAGTTATAATAAACCCAAACTCACAACAACATGCAGAGATGGAGTTTGAGACGTTCTACACATGTAAATGATAACGGTTCGTGTGGAACTACTGTGAACGGAGCCGCTGCGTGACGCATGTACTTAACCTACACGCATGTAAATAATTAAAGCGCATATACTGTATTAGAACTGCATCGCATATAATTATTTAATTAAATCGTAGCATTTGTGAATTTACAATTATGCTTAATTATCATTTTTAAAAGGGTTTAATATATCATGCAGCCTTGGAAAACAGACTAAAAATGTGTTTTATACATTCTCGTCCGTGAAATGCGCCACCGATATTTTGCCGGTTAGTCGACGCGAGTAAAATGAAGTCGAGGATTTAAAAAAAAATCGAATGGTCGAATAAAATCGACAAATCGTGACAGCCCTAATCAAAATGTCATAATTCTATCTTCTGGTGAAACTACAGACTTCTCTTCTGACATTTGTGGAACTTCTCCAATCAACCAACAAACGGAAGTCCCATCCTACATTTTATTCGATAATCCTTTCTCATATACGTCACAAAAACAAAAGATAAGATCTGTCATTACTATTGTATTGACCAATCAGCATCCTATCCTCTTTTTATTCAGAATAAATTCTCTATATTGCATCAAAGAGATTGGTTTTCATACATCATGTAACGTTTTGATATTCTAGCGTGCGTGAACAATTAATCTCTTGGTTTACGCTGCGCATCTACTGACGCAGGAATCTGTGTACCGAAACTTGTTCAATGAATCCAACTTTCTATGAACGCTAACAAAGTGTATCAGTTTAGCTCATCACCACATCGCTGACGGCATCTCTTGAACTCAGCTGGTAGGATACAGATTCTTCACTTTTACTCACTCACTCATTCAGCTCTCCAGAACAGGAAGAGAGTGACTAATATCGCTCATATCTGCTTTATCCACCTTTTTCTTCAACGTGGAAGTAAGCCTATGGGTGAGACTTCCGGTTCATTAGCCACTATAGGTAAATAACGAGGAGAATAACAACGTGCAGTAAACGGTAAAACTGTTTGCACTACAACCCAGTGTGTTCATAATTAAGATAATACATTAAAATAATATGATAAGACACACCAACTTTCAATATCAAGCAGCAAATCTAACTGTTTTGTTCAGCTAAAAATAGCTGGACGGAGTGGACGCAGATGAGACCGGAAGCCAGACCCATAGAATTTACAAATAGCCGCCCCCATTTTTACGACAAGAAAAAGGTGGATAACACGCCACAGGTCAGAGGCAGAAATATCTGTGAGGACATCTTTGATGTGAAGAGGAAGGCTGAGGAAGTTGAAAGTGTCAAAGGCATCTGCTACGAGTCACAGACGGGCCCGTGGTTCTCGATGTGGAATCAGCTCGTGAACGTGTGCAGTCCCTCCTTCAGAATCAGATCACAGTCGCCATTTGCAACCTTTTCATTTGATCAAAAGGTTCAAAAAATCCGCACACGGGCTGCACCAGACGTGTTGCGACACAACTGCAACCAATCTCCCCATTCTCGTTCCCCACATCCTCATTTACCAGCACGCTGCCCTCTCGGACGCCTGTGAACGTTTAACTCTGCGTGAGAAGTAAATGCGTTCTTAAAGTTCCGTTGGAAGCCCTGAAGCATGACAAAATGAAGGTTTAGTACATGAAGAAAGCAATAGATCAGAAAAACCACAACACTCACATACTTAGAGAGGAAAAAAAAGAGGAGGGGACCATTCTATAGACAGCACCACGCGCTCTGCTGTCTTATTGGGTGACAGGAAGCATTAACCTACACAGGGAGAGGAACACCCATCACACATATAGCTGTTTTCTTTGGTGTGCAAAGCTAAGCTCTTTTTGACAAGATGACCAAAACTGTTTGCAAACATCTTTAAAGGGGTCATATGATGCGATTTCAATTTTTCCTTTCTCTTTGGAGTGTTACAAGCTCTTGGTGCATAAAGAAGATCTGTAAAGTTGCAAAGACTAAAGTCTCAAATCCAAAGAGATATTCTTTATAAAAGTTAAGAGTTAACCACGCCTAC